TGTATGTAGTTACATGTTTCAGAAAAAAATTGTTCTCAATTTAGTATAATAGGGTGCTCTACTGATATGTTTTTCTAATGGTCATCTTGACAAATAGTGCACTGAGTTCTCTGTGATGAGGACCATTTTCATGTCTGCATAGTATTCTCTTTCTCTGACTAAACTATCTCTGGACTACATGGTTCTGTCATCTTGGAAATCAGGGTAAACTGGGTCAAAGCATTCTCTTGCTCGAAAAAACTAATGATAGAGGTTTTGCCTCAAAAGAGCTTTTGATGTTTATTTGAAATATCTGAAGTGTTGTTGTGATCTTTTGTTGTTTTTGCAGATGTGTCTTTCTAGAAAAGGTCATGATCCCTACCAGAGATTTAAGAATTCTCATTAGTGTTGCTCACAATACCCTACCATTTCATTGACATACAGTTTGGTGTAATTGCAGCACAGTCCTGGGGGTGGATTTGAAGCAGGGGCTTTCCCAGTCTCCCAGTTCACGCTGAGTGCTAGAGTGAAGGGAAGTGGCCTAGTGAGCGTCTGTGGAGAACCGGGGACGTGAGAAGTGGGAGATCATTTTGGAGAGTGTCCTGAGTGGAATTCCCAAATAGAAGCTTCCCTGACATCTGACATCTGAGATCTTCCTGCTAAATTCAGCGTGTCTTTTCTGGCTGATCCTGGTAAAGGTCTGTGATCTGTGCAAGTACGCTCACTTCACCTCCTGTGTGAACATGCTCGAGAAAGAGCAGCCTGGCTCCTAGCTTGGTGCGCCTCTCTTCTCCAGGGGAGCTGGCAGGAGTTGTGACACAGTGCAGCTGGCTGGAATGTAGCCTGGAGTAGTTGATCTCCACCCTTAGTGGGGAGGATTGCTGTGTAGCCTCCTTGGCTGCGGGGCGCGAGCAGAGCTGAAGGAGCAGGTGCGGCAGTTAGCTGTGTTCTTCTTGACCACAGTCGTCACTGCTGTCCTGGCTTAGCCCCGAGTGCTGCAGTGTGAGTGAGACTCTTAGCCCTCGTCAACACCTGCTTCTCCTGGCTTGAATGAATCTGGTGATGAATGTCCAGAAGACAAAGAACAGTTGTACCTAGAAATCAGTTTCATTGTTGAATTTAACTTCTGATAGTTCCCTTGGGGTAATTTTGCTCAGGATTTATCTGGATTGTTGGACTTCCAAAGGTAAAGAATGGAGCTAGGGGTTGATTACAGACTTCAGAAAATTAGCATTTTCACACATATCTTTATGAAGAATTTTTGAACCCCAGCAACTGTTAAGAATCTTACAGTGTGATGCTGGCAGTTAAATGTATTTAAAAACTCATATTCATGAATTCAAATACATGATGATTTTATTATCAATTTAATTTTTATAAGAAAAACCAGTGTTTTTCAAGAGTTTGAAGACTACTATAATTGAAAGTTCACTGCTTGCTCAGCATAATACCCAAACCAGAAACTATAAAAAAAAAGATTCTTTGTATTTAAAAACTTCTCTATTTAAAATTGACATAAACTATGTTAAACGATGTTAAAAGAAAAATGGCAGATTTGGAGGGGGAGGGGTATATATAGCTCAAGTGGTAGAGCACATGCTTAGCATGCTTGAGGTCTTGGGTTCAATCCCCAGTACCTCCTCTAAATAAATAAAATTAGACCTAATTACCTACCCCCCTAAAAAAATGACAGATTTGGAAATATATTTGTAAGATACACAGCAGGGAAAAGGTTATTTTGCAACTGTAAGGAAATCTTATACTGGACTAGGAGAAAAGTTAAATGTCCCCAAAACAAAACAGGCAAAGAGCGAGAACAGATGAGTCACAAAGGGAGGAACACAGAGTGCCAGCAGATACGTGGAGAGATGCTTTTACTTGTAATCAAAGAAATGCCAGAAAAAGAAAAAAGAGAAGAAAGAAAATACCCAGTTGTCAAAGGTTTGGGAAAGTGGCCGTGCCCAGACACTGTTTGGTGGAAGTTTAAATCGGTACAGACCCTTTTAGAGATAATTTGTAATGTGGATCAAAAAGATAAACTGCATACCTTCTATTCCAGCAATTCCCGCTTTCAGAATTTATCTCCAGGAAAAAGTTGGATATATGCGCAGAGATACACATATGAAGATGCTTGTGATAATAGTGAAACATGAAAATGAAACTACGTATTTAACAATAGCTGTTAAGTAAATTAAACTCCATACATTCAAGGCAGGCGTATTTTTTCCCCATTTTTTAAAATTGTTATAAAATGTACCTTACATTTTACCGTCTTAAATTTGCCATCTTACCCAGTTTCCAGGTGTACAGTTCATAAGGTGCATTCATACTGTTGTGCAACCATCACCACCACACCCAGGTCCAGAGCCCCTTTCATCCTGCAGAACTGAATCTCTGCTCCCATTAAGCAGTAACTCCCTATCTCCCGCCTCCCCTCGCCTTCTCATCCCCTGTGGCAACCACTGTTCTCCTTTCTGTCTCTATGAATTTCACTACTCTGGATACCTCATATGAGTAGAACCATATAATATTCGTCATTTGAGACTGGCTTATGTCAGTATCCTCAGGATTCATGTTGTAGCACGTGCCAAGTTTCATTCCTTTTTAAGGCTGAAAAATATTAAATTTTTTTAAATTTAATTTTTGAGTGGAGAATACATCCACTTAGTCCAAATTCAAGAGGAGGGTTAGGAGGAGAGGAAGATGGAAAGTGACTTTGAATGCGTATGGTTAATTCAGGTGTTCTAGAATTAGATAGTAGTGATCAGTGTACAACTTTTAATATGCTGAAAACCACCGAACTGTACACTTTCAGCAGGTGTACTTCATAGTATATGGGAATTACATCTCAGTAAAGGTACTGCTAAAAAATTTCAATCTCAGTTATATGTCAGTAAAAAACATTTTTATGCAGAATGAAGTTTTCTTACAAGTTGTCCCTCAGACATTCCAGTTTTTTCTTTTTTTGTTACGAAAATAACCATTAATTATTTCTTCTGTAACATTCCAGAAGTATTTTTATTTTAATGAATTTTTTCATTTATAGTAAAAAAGTTAATATTTATTGTTCTCTCCCTTTTAACAAAAGTGGTAGCAAGTTGAATACAGTGTTCTGCACCCAAGTGGGCATCTCTGAAGTCTTTTTCTCTTATTTTCAAAGGCAAAAATGCCTCTTTTTATTGATTACACGCGCCCTGTAGGAGATTCAGACAGTACAGAAAAGTGTCAGGAAAGATGTAAAACCTGCCCGTACCCGAGATGGTCGTGGTTATTGTTTATGTCCTTTTAGACACTTCTCTGTTTCAAAAGTTAGAATTGAAATCATCCTACACTTGCTATTATGTAAACTGCTTTTTTGCACTTAAAAACTATGGTCACAACATACTGTTTTATCAGTAGATATAAATCTACATTTAAAACGCTGGTGCGCGGTACTGAGTTGTGTGGAGGTTTTTCGCTTACTTAACTCATTACTTATTGACATACATTAACATCCATTTAGGTTATTCTAATCTTGTCACTGTTGTAAACTACAGTGAGCGCCCTTGCACATTTGTGAAGTCACTTCCTTGAGGTATTTACTACACTGCAGTATTTTGCAGTCTTCCAGAAATTTTAAACAACATTTTTTTTTAATACTTTACTTACTGTATTATTATTATTTTGTTTCTGGGAATGGAGGTAACTAGTCTTACTTACTTTTTTAGAGGAGGTACTGGGGGATTGAACCCAGGACCTTGTGCACGCAAGCATGCGCTCTGCCACTTGAGCTATGCCCTCCGCCCCTAAACAACGTATGTTTTAACATATACACCAGAAAGATTTTGATGATATTATCAAGTCTGTAGAGAGATGGCGCAGGTATTTACATCCTCATTTTAAATATGAGGACTCTGAAACCCAGAAAGGTGGAGTGTGTCCCAAATTATGTAGCTGTTTAGTGTGAGAGCTGGGACTAAAACTCGCATCCTCTGACTGTGGGCTAGTTTCCTTCCACTGTGGCACACTGCCAGGCCTTGAACACCTTGCATACAAAGAGCGATTTTTTTTTTTATTGTTGCGTCTTCATTTCTAAAAACATGATTCTTGATGTAACTTCCTCTTAGGTTCTTTGTATAATGTGCTAGAATTTATCCATTCAATTAATGGTCCATATACCTTCTTTAGGGATACAGGCTTGGATATACCCTCGCAAACATTTTAGTAGTTTATCTTCATTAACACTTTCATCTTCATTTAATTACTCAGCATTCTGTTATCTTCTTCTGCATTGATAGCTCACATAATCTCAGTTTTTTGTTTTGTCTGTTTTTTGTTTCTGATTTTAAAGCTTCAAGTTACCTTATTACCTTTGGGTGGTACTAGCTTCAGTGGGCTGGGAGAGGGCTTTAATTCGAATGCCAGCTCTCTTCCTACTGTGTGATCGTGGGGCAAGTTAGGTCTCTGTAAGCCTGCTGTCATCACCAATAAAACTGAAATACTAGTACATGTGTCATCGTGAGGGTAAATGAATTAACACGTACAAAGTGCTTGGCACAGTCTGGCACGCGCTCATTAAACGTTTATTATTTAATGTGCAGATTTAACTGTAAAGCACTGAAAGGCCATTTTGTATTTTGACATCCTTTGTTTTTGGTGAAGCGTTTTGGAAGATGTGTTTGTACTCCTGTAGACTCCCCCGTCTTTCCTCTCTCCTCGCCTTCAGGTCTGCGTCACACCTTTCATTCATTGAGAACAGGATCTTCATTTGGTCGTGGTTTAGGCCGAGTGAAGAGCTGCCAGACGTACCTTGTTTCCTGTTGGGAATAAACACAAGTTAAATTCCTGACATTTTACAGATTATCTCAAGCATTTTTAAAGACAATGTAGAGCAGAATAACGTGAATCCTAATTTGCTAGATGCAGGTTCCGAGAACCCAGGGAGCTACTTTCTGACCGACCCCCCTCTCCCCAAAGCTGCTTCGTTTTGCTCCTTGAGGAGGAAAGCTGATGTGGGTTCCCTCTCTCTGTCTTGACTCCAGCACATGCAGATGACAATCCAGGCTCTCCAGGATGAGCTGCGGATCCAGAGGGACCTGAACCAGCTGTTTCAACAGGAGAGTAGCAGCCGGACTGGGGACCCGTGCGTGGCGGAGCTGACGGAGGAGAACTTCCAGAGGCTGCATGCCGAGCACGAGCGCCAGGCCAAAGAACTCTTCCTTCTCCGGAAGACTCTGGAGGAGATGGAGCTGCGCATCGAGACGCAGAAGCAGACCCTGAATGCCCGCGACGAATCCATCAAGAAGCTTCTGGAGATGCTGCAGAGCAAGGGACTTTCTGCCAAGGCTACCGAGGAGGACCACGAGAGGACAAGGAGGCTGGCCGAGGCGGAGATGCACGTCCACCACCTCGAAAGCCTTCTGGAGCAGAAGGAGAAAGAGAACGCCCTGCTGAGGGAGGTGAGGGGCCGCTTTCTCGGTGCTCACGACTTGCTGGTTGTCCTTTCCTCCTGCTGGGGCAGTGCCTCGGCCTAGATGAAGGCGCACGCCCTCCTGCGCTGGTGGGAGGGGCTCCACGCCCTCCTGCGCTGGTGGGAGGGGCCCCACGCCCTCCTGCGCTGGTGGGA